AAGGAGAAAACCGCTCAGATTAGTCATGAGCTGGACTCTACTAGTGATTCAGAGTCTTCAGGGGAGGTGCCAATGTTGCCATCTGGTCCAAATTGATGGATGAGTTTCAGTTATTGCGGCCTGATGATGTGGACAAGTACGTCCTACCACCTGCTTACTGGACCCTTAACAAAGCCAAGCACGGGATAGGGACCTGGATCCTGGAGGTTGTCAACGCCTCTCTGAGGGATGGCCAGGTACCTGCCCCTTTAAAGGAGGCGGTAGTCTGACCAGTCCTAAAGAAGGCATCCTTGGATCCAGAGATGGCCACCAATTATAGACCAGTGGCCAACATCCCGTTTCTGGGCGCAAGGTGTTAATGCGGGTGGTGGCAGGACAACTCCAAGCACTCTTGGATGAGACTGATTATCTGGACCCATTTCAGTCCGGCTTCAGATCCGGGTATGGTACTGAATCTGCCTTGGTCGCCCTGTATGATGACCTGTGCAGGGAGAGAGACAGGGGGAGTGTGTCCCTGTTGGTCTTCCTGGACCTCTCAGCGGCTTTCGATACCATTGACCATGGTATACTTCTGGAGAGGCTAGCGGGATTGTGGGTAGGAGACACTGCTTTGCAGTGGTTCCGCTCCTATCTCAATGGCCGTTTCCAGAAGGTGGTGCTGGGGTACTATGGCTCTGCGCCATGGCAGCTATGCCATGGAGTTCTGCAGGGATCCATTTTGTCCCCCAATGCTATTTAACATCTATATGAAACCGCTGGAAGAGGTCATTAGGAGGTGTGGGCTGCAGAATCATCAGTACACTGATGATACCCAGCTCTACCTCTCGTTTTCAACCAATCCAGGTGAGGCAGTGGCTGTACTGAACTGGTGCCTGGCCGAGGTAATGCGCTGGATGAGGGCCAATAAACTGAAGCTCAGTCCAGACAAGATGGAGGTCCTGTTGGTAGGCAGGTCGGGCTATTGTAAACTTGTGAGGAATGAGAACTTATGGCACTGTCTAAATAGCCTAATATCCTCTAAGCAGTTCCATAATTAATACTGAGCTGAGTTTAACATTTAGCACAGGAATTATCTATAGATAATGCAAAGAATATAATTATTTTGCATGGAGGCAGTGATTCATAATAATAAACTCTGCATGACGAAATCCAGCATATATCTATAAATAAAATCAAGCATTAAGCAAATGATAGAGTACAAAAGACTTCAGAGTAGAGCTGGCAGTGAATCAGACAGTGGTGGCCATAGTTACTCTGTAGAATGCAAATGCAGCAAGAAATATTAGAGGAGTGATTCTTTTACCAGTACAGTGATATTCTTGCTTGGAAGCCAACAGTATTACATGGGTGCAAGTGAATTGTTCTTTCTCCCGCTCTCCAGCTCTCATTATTGTAGTTGCCAAACTGTGTAGCTTGATATTAAATATAAGGTGTTATTTCAAATCTTCTAAGTGTGGAGAATGAAATAGCGGGACTGTATGGACTGTCCTTTTAGAAGAGCAGTGGGAATGACTTCCTTTTATAATGCTACTGCAGTGCATCCCCCATTTACTCTTGACAGCTTGATAACTGTCAAATTAAAACTGGGGTTCAGCTCCACTAGGGAACTACAGCCTTGCTAGAGAACATTTGATGTATTTCGTGACTTGAATTCCTAATGCATGGTGAAAGTGATTAGAGCATGCAATAAGTCAATTTCACTAGTGGATGAAATTGCTTTGAGGTCAGTGGTCTCCTGAAGAGGCATGAGGCCCTTACATTTCTCCCTGCTTCTTAAACAGCTACATATGCAGACACATGCTTATATAGTTAAGCACAGAATCATTTCAAACTGGAGAGGGGGAAGATGTGTTTATCTGCAGGGCACTATCTGGTAGGTGGCAATGGCCTAGCTGTAATGTCATCTAAGCAGACCTTCCACCATGTAAGAGATCTTCCCCATCTTCTCCTGCCTCTTTCCAAACACCCCCACTCCCAACTTGCTGTGCAGTGTCTTCCAATGTTCTGGAACAGATTTAGTGGACATGCAAAGAGCTGTGGAGGGGGAATTTGTTCTAGGCCTGCCTGTTCTACTGGTGGGCAGATGCTATTTGATACAACCCCACAATGGCCACAACAGGATGTATATATTTCTGTTCTAGTAGTGGCGGTTGTGCCATTGGAAGCTAGTGTTTGAAATGCTACCAAAACTTGTAAAACAAGTTTGACCAGGTACTATGGCAAAACAGGAAAACCGACCGTGTTATTTGCATACCATGGGTAGTAACAAGTGCTATTTCTCATTTTCAAAACAGTGATGATTTCTGCTCAGAAAATCTTTATCCAAGACTCCTGCGTACAACTCCTTAATCACATATATAGTAGAATCCATACTACACTCTATCCAAATTTGTTGCTTTTCTTTGATGCTTCTGTTAGATAATCTGAATTAGAAGTTTGGATCTTATTGCTAGTAAAGAGTAGCTATACTTGAGGACAGTTCACTAATAGTACAGTATTATACAAGTTTAGATAGAAAAAAATCCTACAGTGCCCAGCAGGCCCTACCCAGCTATGCTGGTTGGAACTTGTTGGGAACTATCAGATCTTTTCTAAATAAATAAGAATTGGACTGCCCCGTAAGCCAGCAATCCCATGCACACTCAACAGGAAAGTCATATCGAACTCAGTGGGGCTTTTAGGCTGGTGCATTAACTTTTCCAGAAACACCAAATGGCAATAGGTGGGACTTTAAGTTGCAAATAGGCAATATATGGGCCAGTATGAAAATGCCATGAGTGGGTTTCCAGATATGCATTTCCAGTCCCCTTTTCTGTTGCAGACCTTTGTGGTTCCCTAGAAGTCAGCAGACCCTCCCTTGATACTACATGCAGTGCAGCTCAGAGAGAAACCAAAAATGCTCACAGATGTGTTTAAGGAAGTAATTCCACTTTGATCTGAACATATATCTACAAAACAGTGTTTGGAAAAAGCTGTATGAAAAATAAAATTTTGAATAATTCATCAGGATGCAGAATAAAAGACTTGTTGGATCTCTCGTACTTTTATTATTTCCAGACATTTAAACCAATGCTTTAAAAGGTGCAAGATAATATGATCTAGGGGCTTGTTTATTGTTTAATTACCCACCTGGGTCTGCTGTTGGGTTATTTATTTCTCCCTCCAAGAATTGATGCCACCCAGGTTTAGACAACACAGTAAGCCTCACCTGGGGAGGTAATAAGGCAGATATTGCCTGGCACACCCCACAGCTTAAATATTTGGAGGTTGCGGGAGCTGCTAAAACACGTCCTCAGTTTTAGAAGTGTCTCATTCTTCCCTTGCACTTCAATACACACAAAGAGACTGAGAAGCAGTTGCGGTTCACATATTGCTCGCTGGCTAGGGCATCAAATAATGATTTGGATGCCTGAAACAGCCATTTCAGATCAAACTCCAAGATATCCCAAGAGATTACTTCAGAAGCAATTCTGTTTAGTGCATTTATTCAGTTGTAAGTCATCAGGTGATAAACCACCAGGAAATACAGAAATGCAAAGAGGTATGTTTGCACAGTCTACTCAGAGATGCTAGAGAGCTAGAAAAGCTAACATACTTCTGAATACTCACTTTTCACCAAAGAGGCTAGGCAGCATTTTCTAGACAGGACTGGAGTGCAGCTTTGTGAACGTTTATAACCCTAAGTTTATAGGGTTCGGATATTTTTGAATTTCTGAAGTAAGAAATGAACACCACTGCTGTGGAACATAGAAAAACAGATATATATCTGATATATAAGTGATGTGCTACATATAACATTAGTCCACAATAAGTAACCATATATCCAGTTTATACAGAAACTACTTTTAAAATGTGAAAGGTTTCAAAACATTTCTGAGCTCTCATTTGTGATTGAAGTTGGCATCTTATGGCTGTGTATGTCCCTATTCCAAAAAGAAAAGAAAAAAAGGGGAGGGGGAGAAAATCCTAATTGTGTCAGAAACTCCATTTTAAAAAGAAGTTTAAATTTTGACAGCTGTCAAAACTCCATGGTCCCTTAAATGGGGTGATTCCTATATTTCCACTTTCCTCAGCCCTTAAAGTCTCAGGAAAGGGTCAAACAGGTGAAAGGCACTCAAAACAGTAAAATATATATTTTTAAAAAATCACCATGTGGGGATGATCTACTCCTAGCTCCTTTCACCAGCAAAGATCCCCTTGCACCTTCACTTCTCGTGATAGCTCCCATTTGAGAGCAATTAATTAACCCATCCATAACTTTGCCTCATTCATGCCCATTGATGGTTTCTCCTGTATTTTGACAGGAGACACCATCCAAGGATTCAATGAATTATTAAAAATGATCTTTGGAAGAAAGAGTAAAAGGAAGAAAAAGCATCAGTGACTGCAAAAGGAGTTGCAGTAGGGAGAGGAGGCAAGATAATGTCCTGCTGCAGAGTTTCCTAGGGTCCTGTCAAAAGGCCAAGGGAAAAGGGTGGGTAGAAGCCACAAGCAGCCCAGTCATGTGTCAGACTTTCTGTGGCTGTTCCATGAACAGCCACCCAGTGTAGCTTATTTGCAGGTTGGGTTCTTCTGCCATGTGAATGTGACCAGTATCTGCTACTCATAAATACTGTACTACTCTGACATCAACAAATTGAAGGATTGAGTGAAAATGATAACTGTTTTCTTTACTGTTGAACATGTTACAAGAATTTACAGAAAATAACTCAAATTATATGTGCCATAGGCATTCATTCATTCATTCCTTTATTAAAATTGTATAAAAGCCACTCATTACCATCATGCTATCTGGGCAGACATTACAATTTTCTCTGTACACCAGTGGATAGGCATTGTTATTGTTTTATCCCACCCAGAGAACTTTGGGTACTGGACAGTAATGGCAATTGGGTGGGATATTGATAATGGAACGTATGAAACTTTATCAGTTATCATGGACAAGAGTAAGTCCTTTGTATAAACAGAGATAACCATTTATTATTATTGCTCTAACACAGGTGCGGCTGGTGACTTATAATTTAAATGAAGACTGGAGAAATTAATTCATCACACCTGACTACAGATCAAGTTCTGCAACAATTATTCATGTAAAGAGGTACTTATGAGCAATTCTATTCACACACTTGAGCATGAGCAACCATGAGCAACAGATAAAACTGTAGATAGTGCCACCATGGCCGTTCTTGTGGAGGACTTCCTGGAGAGAGGTGGTGTGGGAACAGCTTTGTGTCTGGCATGCTTTACTGAGCCAGGGACCGCCCCAATGGATAGCATGTCAAAACTCATAGCAAGTTAGTGACTGGGTGGTAGATAGATGGAGAAATATGCTCTGCATAATTCCCATGGAATGCCTAGTGATTATTTAATAATTTTGAAATGAAACTGACCTTGGTATAGTTCTGTGCATGGCCGATTTCAGTTTTGTCAGGTGCTTCTGTGTTCTGATGGATCCTAGTAGGTACCCATGGGCAAGGCAACTCCATAGTTGCAACACCATGGAAAGCTTCAAGTGAATAACAGTGTCATACCCTCACTAGGTTATCCCACAGGGCAAATAAGGCAGCTTCCCATCCAAAATCAGGCTTAAAGTACAATTTAAAAAGATCCAGAAAATCTGTTTCACCGAGAGCTTTGCTCTCATCATTTTGCTTCCAGGGAGAGTTCTGGCTTGTGGCAATGCATGTAAAGACTTCTCAGATGTCACCATTCCATTATATTCCATTTGTCATATCTGAATGCCAGCCTTCCCCCACAGGAGCTCAGTGTGACCTATATAGGATTATTTTATTGTAGCCTCACAACAAGTTCTGAGGTATACGCTGAAATTTAGTGGCTGTTTCAAAATCACCCAACGAGCTAATCACCCTGTGAGGATTAAACTGTGTAAGTTAATTAGATAATGTACAAAGAGCAGCACCCCAGGTAATTTTTATTGGATATTACCAATTTCCATCTCCCATCTTTAATCCCTTTTCAGTTTGGAATAAGTAAGGGTGAAGAATACATTATGAATGAAGGGAAATATGTTGTTAAAATAGTCAGGTACAGTGGCCTCACACTGGACGGCATTTAAGCCTAACAAAGATACCTTCAAAATAAGTAGCAGTATCACTACTTTTATATTTTTTAAAATTTACATTTTTCAGTTAATGGCTCTGTTGAAGGGAGAAAAAAATCTGCATCTAGCCATTCAATTTTCTGCAGAACACCATTTGACTGCAGTGTCTACGTGACTTCCTCTCATTTACCTGGTGAACATTTCTTGGTAGGGTATGCTGGAAATGTCTGCTAGAATGTGTATGCTAGTCAGGCATTTCACAGCTTTTTTTTTTTTTTTTTGAGAATAGCTCTCAAAATGTGGCAGCCTCTCCCAGCTTCCACATTTCCCCTCTACCGGGCAGTTATCTGTGATGGTTTCAGCAGCCTCACTCACATGACCCGACAGTTGCATGTTTTCTCTAACCAGCGTCAAGTCATAAGATGAAGCAGTTCATTTTCTGACAGTTTTCTGTGCATTGCATTTCTGATTTTTTTCTTTTCAGTTTTGATCATCTCCCATCAAAAGGATATTTCATGTAGATCACAAAACATGATCAAGTTTTTTCTGATGGTGAACAAACAAGGCCAAACCAGACTATCTCGTTATTATGAATACCTAGATCTTCATAAACGGACAGTACTGGAAGCTGAAGTGATCCAGCAGTGCCTTTCTCGTTCAAAGGAGCAAGTAGGTCTTTTTTTCTTACATAGGTTTTAGGTCTGAATTACATGTGACTTGGGCAGATTTATGCCTTTAAAGCTGGGTGAGGAACAGTCATGGGTAAAGTGGGAGCATGTGTGTATATTTGAGATGAAAAAGTGGAAAAGTACATGAGCATGTTGGATATGGAACTTGCATCCAATTTCCCACCACTACCACTTTTGATTCAGTTGGGTTATCTTTCCATTTTGGAACTTGGCTAGGAGGAAAAATGACCTTGAGCAGATGGACTGCAGGAGGAAGAAGAGTTGTGGGAAGAGGATTCAGAATTCTTGGCTGGAATATCTTAAATTTCCCTTTTGGTCCCTTTGTGTTCATGACTTTGTATAAAAAATAACTTTTCAGAATTTCACATTAGGAGCTACTTGTGTCTATTTTTTATTTATTCTATGTTTTGGTTCACCCACTTATTCTTTAATACATGCCTTCTATAATGGAACTATGTTCTTCCAAGCAAACCATTCTTATATCCGTAGCCAGGTCTTCCTTTATCCACAGCTGTTGCTAAAGGAATAGAAGCAAAATCACTTTGAAGTTCCTTTTCTTTCAGTGTGGCAGTGAAGTACATTATAATGCCGAGCCATTTCTTTTTTGTTCCTGCTAAAATTACTTTGAGAATGTGAATGTTGGCTACTGTTATTTCTTCAAGACCCTAATAAAGGCTATTACAATGGTCAGGGCGACCCTTTTAAGATCAAGCTAGATGTGACAGGGCAGCCAACCACATGTCAACAAGGTTAGAGTGTGATGGAATCCTGCTTAGAGTACATCTATATTGTAACGTAGTGACTACTAACTTAAGTCCTGTTGATTTCAATAGCTCTGCTTTAAGCAGGACTAACTCTGAATCTAACCTGAGGAGAGTGTTTTCTGGGACTGGGGATTTATAGTCTCTTTATTTCCAAAATGTTATAAAGTACATTTCCATACCACCCAATAGCTAAAACAATGGTTCACCATTGTTATTCTTATATTGCATTTATATCCCTCTTTTGTTCCTCACGTGAGGAATCCAAGGTAGCTCACATAGCTCCATTTTATTCTCAGAACAACTACCCTGTGAGGTAGGTTGGGCTGAGAGTCTGTGACTGGCCGAAAGTCACCCAGTGAGCTTCATGGCCAAGTGAGGACTAGAACCTGGCTCTGTCAGGTGCAGCACTCTGGCCTCTGCGCCACTTTCCTAAAGCCATAGCATTCAAGGAGCAAACCCTGCACATCTCACCTTCTTTCACTGTTCTCTTTTGTTTTAAACAATTTTCTCTTAGCCAAGCTCCATCTGCCTCATAGTAGCTAAGTCTCTAAAGCTATGTTTTGCTTTTCATATTGTTTACAAGCTGCTTACTTTTGGGACTGGTAAATAAAATCTAAATCTGATATTGACATTGATATTTCTG